ACTTAAGTTTGGTTATGGAGGTATGGCGCAGCTGGGACCTTCTTAGGAGTAGGGTTTGCATCAATATATACATGTGAATGATTAGGGTTAAGAAATTGGTCCAAGGAATCAAGGAATTGATGAGAAAATATTTGATTTTCCATGCATATGTTTTTTCAATCTTTTCATGCAAATTTGATTCAAATTGTGTCCAATCACCATGATTCTTTCTAAATCTGATCATGCACGAAATCTTAAGCCTATTCCATGCACAAAAAGATTTAAAAACCTAAGTTTAGTATTTTCCACATATTTAATTTAGTTAAATGAATTATTAATAATTAAAAATCCAAATAAATAAATAAAAATGATAAAAAACTTCCCTTTGGGCCAAATGGTCGTGCACATGCCTTGGATGATGAATTGTGGAAGAAAAAGAGGCCCATTGGCATTTTTAAGACATTTGAAGCAATGTTGACTTTTCAAAATATCCAAAAATTTCCCAACTTCCACAAGGCATAACTTGCTCAATTTTTAAGCTTTGCTCATGTTCTTGGACATTTTGGAAATTTCTTTGAGTGCTCTAACCAATGCCTTTGGTCCCATGTCATTTTGATTTACCAATCTCAAGTTATGGCCTTTGACTTAAAGTCCCTTTTTGTTGACTTTTGAAAATGACCTATAATGTTGAAATTGATAACTTTTTGTGAGAGCATTTCTTGGACTTGAAGTATGACGATGAGTTGTAGGAAATGTCTTTCTCTTCAAAATGAGCTTTGGATGGAATTTTTCTGATAATCCATGTGGAAGTTATGCTTTGGTCAAGTTACAGTTGACTTTTTCAACTGTCCAAATATGGAAACTTTTGCATCTTGAGACTTTTTGAACCAAGCTTTGAGAATCATGATCAAGCATTGATCAAATGATGTTTGTGGCTTCAAAATGAGATGTTGACCAAAAATTTGAACTTTTGACTGTCAAATGACCATTTTCCCCCTGCAGTTGACTGTAGTGCAATTAGGGTTTTTGATTGTGCAATTTTGTGCTGTAAGTCTTGAAACTTGGTATGAGGATGCTTGACCATGTTTATAGGCATGTGGGACTTGATTGGACCCTTGGAAACTTCATTTACTTTGTCAGAACCAAAACCCTAGTTTTTGACTGTTAGGAGGCCCTTGAACTGTGCAACCCTTGGGGAATTTTGAAGCATGCTCTTGGCAATTCTTGAAGAATATGGGAGGGCAAATTTTGGGGTACAACAGTTGCCCCTGTTCAATCTTCTTAAACCTGAGGATGCAGATTGGCTGACGTGCCTTTCGTAATCCGAAGGTGGAAGATGATTGAACACTAGAGTGCCCAGAAATTTGCGCTCACATAGTAGTGTGATGTGGGGAATGGGCTTATAGATGCCATTTGGAGATTGATGAATAGGATGATGGGCTTATCGATGCCATGCTAAGAGATGATGGAAGGTGGATGGGCTTATAGATGCCATCTGGATGTTGATCGCGTAAGAGATTCCTTAGCGAGAACTTGCGTACCTGCAAAAGAAAAATGATTATCTGACCTGTTACAGGAGCTGGTCTTCAGATTCTTTGTATAGATGTGTCCTGACTGGTTACAGGAGCTGGATATGGAGCTTCAAACGGTGATGAATGAACCAGGGATGGTTACTACCTCAACAAGAACGCTGAGAGAATCTTGGGCGACTTCAACCTCAACAGTACTCATTGAGAAAATCTTGGATGACTTCAACCTCAACAGTAACGCTGAGAGAATCTGGGGACGATTACTACCTCCGCAGTAACGGGGAGAGAACCATAGGCGACTTCAACCTCAACAGTAGTCATTGAGAGAATCTTGGGCGACTTCAACCTCAACAGTAATCATTGAGAGAATCTTGGGCGACTTCAACCTCAACAGTAATCATTGAGAGAATCTTGGGCGACTTCAACCTCAACAGTAATCATTGAGAGAATCTTGGGCGACTTCAACCTCAACAGTAACGCTGAGCGAATCTGGGGATGATTACTACCTCCGCAGTATCGGGGAGAGAACCATAGGCGACTACAACCTCAACAGCAATCATTGAGAGAATCTTGGACGACTTCGACTTCAACAGTAACGCTGAGCGAATCTGGGGATGATTACTACCTCCACAGTATCGGGGAGAGAACCCTAGGCGACTACAACCTCAACAGCAATCATTGAGAGAATCTTGGACGACTTCGACTTCAACAGTAATGCTGAGCGAATCTGGGGATGATTACTACCTCCGCAGTATCGGGGAGAGAACCATAGGCGACTACAACCTCAACAGTAATCATTGAGAGAATCTTGGGTATCTTCTACTGAGTCTTCATCAGGAAAATCTGTTAGGGGTCGATTTAACGGGACTAGAGAAGGCCTTGGACTGGATAAGAAACAGGAAAATCTTAGGGTCGATTTAACTGAACCGGTCTAGGTCTTGAAATCTTCAATTGGATAAGAAACAGGGAGATCTTAGGGTCGATCTGACTGAACCAGAGAAGGCCTTTGACTGGATAAGAAACAGAAAAATCTTAGGGTCGATTTAACTGAACCGGTCAAGGTCTTGAAATATAGCTGAGAACTTAACTGAATTCTTCCTGAAAAGTAAAGGTCAGTCATATGCAATGCATGATATGGATCAAGCAATGATGTTCTCAACATAAATGAGATTTGTAAGATATGATGCGTATATGCATGCTATAATGTATGGAAGTGCGATGTTTATGAATTTATCTTTTGTCTTAGGAAAATAAATCCTTGACGGGTGCCGGGAAGTCACTCCTGGGCCGATGTTTTAAAGTATAGATTATTTGCTTCCGCTGGGGATGATAGTTGCAAGAATACCGGTAGGAGAAGATAACTCCGTTGGGGAATGAACTTGGCGAATGGATTACTCTGCGGGGAGAAAAGTACTCTAGCAATCTTGCTGGGAAGCAAAACTCTGTGGGGAGAGAGATACTTTGCTGAGTTTGATGAAGATAACCTGCTGGGGATACCATTGTTGTGTTGGAAGTGTTGATAGACTTCGCTGGGGATAAGAAGACTTCGTCGAGGACGCTCTTTCCACGGTTTTTGGCTGAGGATAACCCAGTTATATCCTGGTAAGGAAATAACTCTTTGAATAAAGTCGGGAGACGCGTTCATGCTCTACGGGGATAAGCTTCCAGAATCTACTGGGGATAAGCTTACTGCTTGGGGAGACGGATTTCAACTTTCCTGGGGAACTAGATTAGATTCTCTTGGGGAAGTTTTGAACTGTATCGGGGAAGTGACTCCATTGAATGTTTGATATACCGCCGGGGAACAATCTTTAGACCAAGACTGTCGGGGATGCTCATTAAGAATACATGTACTGCTGGGGAATGTTGAGATCTGCGGGAGGATACCCAACTTCTTTAAGTTTGATTGTAATTTTGCTTGAGGAGAGTGTACTGACTTGCTGGGTTACTCTTTGGGGAATTAGGATATCTGGTTATGTTCTTTAGCTGAACCTACCTTGGTACTTTGGAGGACGGAACAATTAGATTGTTTGGACAACTCTTTATTGCCCCTGTTTCTAATGTTACCTGTAATTAATCCTTTGTTTCGTATGCAAATATTCATGAGTTAGCAAATTATTGTCAATACATATATCACAAATTGAACCTTGGACGTTCTTCGCAAAACAAAACAGAAAAGGAAAAAATAGATGGCAATTTTAGCTGAAAAGTGATTTTTATTGATTTTGAATTTGCCTGTAAATAGGCATTTTATGTACAAGAGGCTGACGTCCTAGTAAGAGAACGCCGCCGAACAAAAGAGTTTATACAAATTTGTACAAAAGAAAATAAAACAGCTGTGTGAAATGAATGATCCACTGGGTTTCAACTCTGCTATCACTACGCCAAAAATGATTTTTTGTATCACCTAATTTAATAGCACTTTTAAAAAAATGCTATTAAAATGGAAAAAACACATTTATAATAGCACTTTTTAATCGGGCGCTATTATATAATACAGACTATGTAATTATGATAGCACTTTGTACCAGAACGCTATTATTAAACTTCTTTAAGATAGCATTTTGTATAAAACGCTATTATTTGACTACCTATATAATAGCATTTATTAAAAAGCGCTATGTTATATATAATAAAGAATTAATTAATTAATTGATAAAAAAAAAAAAAAACACATTTTCAGAAAAATAAAGACGGAGGAGTTCAACACAGAGACGGAAGAGGGAATACCAAAACGAAGAACTATTGTTGAATTTGCAAGGATTGAGAGAGGACGGTTGGGGTTTCAATTTCTGAAACCCTAATTGTGATCCTCTACCGCCACAACCTCCATCACCGTCACCATCCTCAAAACAAAGAAGGCGGAGCAAGGTCAATACCGGATCAGAAAACTCAAGAAGCTGAACAAGGCAGATTGTAAAGGGGTAAATATCTTAGCTCTTGTTGTTTTAGTTCTGGTATGGTTTGAGGGTCATCAGGTTTTGATAAAAGAGGAAAAGGTTGGTTTCGGCGCCGCCGCGGTGATTAGGTTTTAGGGTTTGTGAAGAGGAAGAAAGGGGTAAGGCATTGGAACTCAGAATGTGATTTAATAAAACACATTGGAACTCAGAATGTGATTTAATACTATCATGTTCCAAAGTTTTCTATAACTAGTTGATCTGTGACACTGCTGGAAGATGAGACAGTGTTTTGGTTTGTCTTGTAGCTTTCTTTGTTCTTGATGTATATATATCTGGCAGTTTGAGTTCATGATTTCTCTTCCTATGATTGGTCACTGTGGGGGGTAATAGGTATCAACTTCAAAATATAATATGCTTGCTGATTTGGGTATTGAGATATTGTTCTGTAAAAATTTATTTCATTATCATAAAATGGTGATATTGTTCTGTAAAAATCTAACGTTTTTTTTCTTTCTTTTTTCAGAACCGCGATCGAATTGTGAGCTTCATAGACTGTGAATGATTGAATTCGAGTTTGGAGTTTCAAGTTGAGATGAAGAGTCCGTTAAGGGAAGACGAGAAACACGAGCGCGCGATTCGAGCTCTTCTTAGGCTCGAACCCAATCGAACATGCATTAACTGCAACAGTTTGGTAAGAACATGCATTGTACAAGATATTGCTGAGAAAACTAGAGAATCAGAGATTAGGAAGTAGAAATCGAGCAATGTGATTCTTGATACTTGAATTAGGAAGAATGAGTTCAGTTTCATAATTATTACAATTAGCTGAAATTACAAGATTAATCCAAGTATAACAAAAATTAATTACCTGCAACGGAATCACAAATACATAATAAGTGAAACAGTCTACTAAGATGCACATTCGATTCTATCAAATTTAGAAGCTATTGCTCAGAAAAACTAGAGAATTAGATAAGAGATTAATTTACAATTACATTCTATCAAGCTTGTCTGTGATACTCGAATTGAATGAGATAAATGTGTTAGTGTCATATAGTGCTAGTTTGAAGGTTAACTAAGTATCCGAAATATAACAAAAAAATAACCAAGTCATTAGCTTTAAACTCTTTCGTAGTTAATAGATTTGAATTCGATTTTACTTCTTCGAGCATGTTCATTTATCTACTTTAAATGAATTGCTACTAGCTAACTTTGTAGAATGTCGAATCGGTATGATATGATTTCTCCCATTTATGCAATGTGAAACCGACAAACTTTCCATTTTATGCAATGGTTGAAAGTTGAAAATGTATAAATACTGTGCCCGACACCTATTGTTCTCTATATTCCATGGAAAAATGGGGTCCTTATTAAAGAGACAAATTTGAAATTTTGCTGATAATCTTATTTGTATCTGTAGACTTTTATATGTTTAAAAACTTCTAACCAGGTTTTAGAGCATTTTCATTGTATTCTTCAGAATCTAGGAAGGAAATTATTGCATTTGGCGCTATAACAAATCCGTTGCATTAATTTATTTATTTTTATACTTTTTAAGGGACCACAATATGTGTGCACAGATTTCTGGACGTTTGTTTGCACTAATTGTAGCGGAATACAGTAAGTCCTTACAAGAGTTCTGCTTATTGTAATACCTATATTTCAACCATGTGCTTTGAGTTGAATACATGTTTTTATGGTTCATGGTGGCCATTCTTCAAAACTCATGAGGTTTTTGTGGGAATTTACAGCCGTGAACTTACACATCGTGTGAAATCAGTTTCAATGGCTAACTTTACTTTGCAAGAAGTTACTGCACTTCAAGAAGGAGGGAATCAGGTTTCCATGCCTTTTTGTGCGAAAACTTGTGCTGTTTATTTTTTCAGTCTGCATGATATCATATATTTCTTGAAGTTTATTTCAGCTTTATCTAATACTTGCAGCGTGCAAGAAATGTTTATTTTAAAGAATGGGATGGACAACAGCATTCTTTCCCTGACAGTGAGTAAGTACTTGCTTGTACGTTTTAATATATTGCTGCAGAGTGCATTATTCATTTATTCTGTCATATTTGGTGCCAGTAATGTTAACAGGCTCCGAGACTTTATTAAGCATGTTTATGTGGATAGGAGATTCACCGGAGATAGTACCTCTGACAAACGAGTGAAAAACGTAAGATTTCACCATTTTGGATTTATTGTTTTAAGCAAATATTTGACAGTTTGATATAGGTTCAATTTCAATTTGTGAGTTATTGCCTTTGCTTTAGAATTGATTGAATTGGTCAGCCAATTCTAACTTCAGTCTTCTCTCTTGTGCTGCATGTTGTTTAGGGTGGTGACAAAGATGGGTCATATGAAAACAGGAGAGTTGAGGAGGGAGCATCTAAAAGCCCTCCATATGAAGACTCACATGAACCTTGTTATAGTGATAGGTCTAGTCCCGGTGGAAGAAGTCCTGGATATGATCAAGAAAGTAGGCAAGTTGGTAACTATAAGAGAAGTCCCGGTCGTCCTCCAGTTATCAATGATTGGCATCGTGAAGAACGTAGAAAATCAGATGGAGATTATAAGACGGAAAGTAAATCCCCTGTGCAAGTCAGAAATATGGGCTCTTCTAGCCCACCTGTGGGCCGACCCGTTAGAGAATTTTTGGGAGAAAATGTAGTACCTCTTAGGATAAGTGGACCTCCCAAACGGAACAATGGAAAAGCTGCCAATGCCTCAACACTGACACAGGTGAAACTATTACTGATGCTACAATGTAATATAAAAACCAATCAAGTCATGCATTCTTGTGTCCTGCCTAATGGCTTCCGGTGTAGGGGGATTGTTAGTTCATGACATAGGACCTGTTTGGATTAGCATATGTGTACTTATCTACTGAAATATATTTTGTGAAACTGTTTGGGCGAATTTATGAAAACAACTTGTGATATTTTTTCATAAAATGATAAAATAATTTTACCTTGTGATATCTTATAAAAACAGTTTCTAATATATACAAAAACAATTTAAAATTATTTTTTCATTTATTATAGAAATAGCTTACGTAAGCTTATAATTCAGCACTTATATTGTTAAGAACTTGTGCTATAAGTTGTTTATTCAAACATGCCCATAGTATTAGTTTATATAACAACAACAACAACAACTAAGCCTTATCCCACTAGGTGGAGTCAATTACATGGATCAACTTTTGCGATAATGTAGTATCGGCTTATATAACCAAGTTGTCTAATAGTTCGACTTTGCCACTCCCATTGGCCCATTTATTCTTTGAATAATAGTTGAATTTCAGCCGGCGTGTTTGTGTATTTTCCATGCTTCAAGGCCAAAGTACTCTTCTTACGGGGAGTGTATTCCTCTACCTCTAGTTTCAATTAGACTTCAGAGATGTTTGTTTTTTATTTTAACAACTAGAGATATTTTCCGTTTTCAATTTACTGTTAAATATATTACTTTCCTTATATTCTTTGAAGTTTTCTTGTAAGATGTGGCTTAGCATTTACAGTTTACTTTGTTTGGCATGAATTGCATTGAGTGATATCTTCCATCTCCCCTTTTAGTAAGGTGGCCAACTGGATTTTGTACCCAAATTATACAACAATAACCGTCTGTCCATGATTTCAGAGAACTGCATCCTCCGGTAGCTTGGTATCCAGTAATGAAAGCCAAGTAAATATTAAGCTTGAGACTACTAAGAACCTTATTGATTTTGATGCTGATCCTATTGCATCCACAATTCCTCAAGCCCAACAAACTAGTGCGCCTCAACCTGTTTTGCAGCCAGGAAATTCCAGTGATGACAATTGGGCCTCTTTTGATATTGCTTCTGAGAAGAAAGCAAATCAAAACACCTCAAATTTAAATCCACTTGAATCCGTACTGTCCCAATTGTCTTATTCGGCATCTTTATCTTCTCATGCTTCGGGAGTCCAAGGTGATACACAAGTTGTAATGGCAGTGTGATAACATCACCAAGAAGTGATGACTCATTTTTTTTATATCTGCAGGACCTATTCCAGCAGGGGCTCTTAGTTTTGGCAGTTTATCATCTTTCCCATCCAATGATGCTTCGATGCCATCTTCCGGACTGGAAGTTGTATTACCTCATAATAATGTAGGAAAGTGGGCTAGTTTGCAGCATCAGCAACCAATGTTCTCTGCTGTAAATAGTCAGGTTTGGATAATGGAGTTGTCATGTCAAATACTGTTGACTGTTTATTTATGATGTAGCATTATTTTCACCATCCTGGAAATATCTTGCAGCCATCGCATGTACCTTTTGTACCCACAGGACAGGGATATCCCAACTCACCAATGCCTCATTCATATCATCGTGCTTCGAAGCCAGCCAATGAGGCTTTTAACAGTATTCTTTCTCAAACTTCTGCTGTAGAAGTAAAACCAAGTGGAAGAACAGAACTTTCTGAAGTAATTGTGACTTAGTTTGCTTCACAACCTCTGCCTTTTGTATACACTTGCATGTGTTTATTGTTTGCCTAACAATTAATTGTGATTGATGCAGGATCTGTTCACTGCAAAACACTCTTCCTTCTCTGCTCCAGTTCAAGGTTGGCAGGCAGGTCTTCCCCAGGGCAGGGGCATCTCAATGCAATATAATAATAATGTGGCGGTACTGTTACAATCCAGAATGATTAGCTTACCAGATTATCTTACTATGCATTTAGTTTTTATGCTCCAAACAGCTTATGATTAATAATCAGAGAGAGAGGACCTTTTTGTTTATATTAAAAAGGACATTTCCTTCATAAAGAGTCAACCAAATGGATGCTTTTAATTTGTAACTTGTACAAAAAATGAGTATTTCTCTCATAAATGTGCGCCCTCTGTTACATCCCATACCAAGTTTTTCGGAGCCATCAAGGTCAACAAATCCATTTGATGTCGCCAGCAAACAAACCCCAGATCAAGACCCAGGTGTATGTGACTTTCATTGATTTATAATATGAGTATGTTTACTGTGTTGTACTATTGCCAATAATAGTTCCTACTCTTGTCAATGCTTGGTGGATAATGCATGAGTATACAATTGAGGAATTTTCTCTTCGAAAGTTCATATTTGTGGAAGTTAATATTGTACTGTACTTATTAAAAATATTGTACCAAATATGTACCATTTATTAGCACTTTATTTGAAAGCGCTATCAAACATATGTTATATATTAGCGCTTTTGTTTAGAGTGCTATAAAAAAACAAACAAAAAACATGCAAAATACTGACTTTGATAGCACTTTAATTAAAACGCTATTATAAATTGGTACTTTAATAGCGCTTTTAAAGTGCTATTAAATAAGAAATATTTACAATAGTGGCGCGGTTAATAGCACTTTTAAGCGCTATCAAAAACAAAAAAAAGCGCTATTAAATAGCTTATTTGGCGTAGTGTATTGCCTTTATAACTCCGAGCGTCTCATCCCTTGATGACCTTAGTTGAAGATGAAGCTGACTGATCGATGTCGTCTGAACTCGATGTAGATACCAGATTCTGGATGCCAGGTGATCCAATGAGACATAGTATTACGCTTTATCCCTAACTTTTTCCTGGACCGCCCTTTCGGGTTTTCAGTCCACCGGGATACCCATTTTTGCCCAAGCCGCCTTTTCAGGTTTTCGACTTGCCGGGTGTACATATTTTTTTCATTTCATCCCTTCATTTTGCCCGAACCCTTTTGGTTCGCCGGGAAGCCCTAACTTTTTCCTAGGCATGTCAGCCTAGCGGGTCTTTTTTTTATGCGTAGTATCTTTTTACTATGTCTGCGTTGGCAGGGTGAGGAAGGTCGTCACCATCCATGTTGGTTAGAATCATGGCTCCTCCTGAGAACACATGTTTAACCACAAATGGCCCTTCGTATGTAGGGGTCCATTTTCCCCTTGGATCACTATGAGGAAGGATAATTCGCTTGATTACCAGATCCCCAACTTGATACTCTTGTGGTCTGACCTTTTTGTTAAATGCCCTGATCATCCATTTCTGATACGTCTGACCGTGGCAGATAGCAGCGAGTCTCTTTTCATCAATAAGGTTTAGCTGATCAAGTCGTGTCTGGATCTAATCATCTTCACTCAGATCTGCATCCTTCATTATCCGGAGAGAAGGTATTTGCACTTCGATCGGTAAGACTGCCTCCATGCCATAAACCAAGGAGAAAGGAGTTGCCCCGGTTGACGTCCTGGCTGAGGTACGGTACCCATGTAGAGCGAACGGTAACATCTCGTGCCAATCTTTATAAGTCACTGTCATCTTCTGCACGATTTTCTTAATGTTCTTATTTGCTGCTTCTACAGCCCCATTCATCTTCGGTCTGTAAGGAGAAGAATTGTGGTGCTGTATCTTAAACTGCTCGCAGAGCTCAGTGATCATCTTGTTATTGAGATTGGTACTGTTGTCTGTAATAATTCTTTCAGGGACGCCGTATCGACAGATCAGGTTATGCCGAATGAACCGTGCCACAACAGTCTGGGTTACCGTAGCATAGGATGCTGCTTCAACCCACTTCGTGAAGTAATCAATCGCCACTAGGATGAAGCGATGCCCGTTAGATGCCGTAGGTTTAATCTCACCGATCATGTCTATGCCCCACATTGCAAACGGCCAAGGTGCAGTCAGAACATTCAGAGGAACTGGGGGAACATGCACCTTGTCTGCATAAATCTGGCATTTGTGGCATGTCCGAGAGTGTTGGTAACAGTCGGCTTCCATTGTGGACCAAAAATACCCTGCCCGTAGGATCTTCTTTGCCATAGTGTGTCCACTGGAATGTGTACCAAATGTCCCTTCATGTAGCTCTTCCATGATCCTTTCTGCTTCAGTCTTATCCACACAACGTAGTAAGGTCGAATCATGGTTTCGCTTGTACAAGATGCCGTTGCTAAGGAAGAATTTTGCTGCGAACCTTCTCAGAAACTTCTTATCGTTGACAGAGGCACCTTCAGGGTATTCCTGAGCTTCCAAATATCTCTTCAACTCATGGTACCAAGGCTTCTCAGTCACCAATTCAGTCTCGAGGTCACAACAGTATGTCGGTTCGTCCAGTTTCCAGATGATGATCCGGGGAGCCTCATTGTCCCATTTGACCTTGAACATAGAAGACATTGTAGCTAACGCGTCCGCCAGCTGATTCTCCTCTCTCGGGAAGTGTTCAAAGGTTATCTCTGTGAAGTGGGGAATCAAAGTTAACACACATTCTCTGTAAGGAATAAGATTCGGATGTTTCGTATCCCACTCTCCTTTGATCTGATTGATCACAAGAGCGGAATCTCCGAAGACACTCAGAAACTTGATCCTTAGGTCGATCGCAGCTTGAAGACCCATGATGCACGCCTCATACTCCGCCATGTTGTTGGTACAGTTGAAACACAGCCGGGCAGTGAGTGGAGTATGAGTGTCTTGAGGAGATATGATCACCGCGCCAATACCATTACCCAAAGCATTGGAGGCTCCGTCAAAGTGCATAGACCATCGGGATCCTTCCTCAGGTCCTTCATCCGGTCCGGGTACTTCACAATCAGTCACAATCATGATGCTCTCGTCTGGAAACTCGAAGTTCATTGACTGATAGTCGTCTACGGCCTGATGTGCCAAGTGGTCTCCAATACACTTCCTTTGATGGCTTTCTGAGTCGTGTACTGGATGTCGTATTCTGTCAAGATCATTTTCCATCTTGCTATTGTCCCAGACAGAGCAGGCTTTTCAAATATGTACTTTATAGGATCCATCTTTGAGATTAACAAGGTAGTGTGAGTCAGCATATACTGTCTCAGCCGGCGAGCAGCCCATACCAAAGCGCAGCAAGTTTTCTCAAGCAGTGAGTATCGGGTCTCACAGTCGGTAAACTTTTTGCTAAGGTAATAAATGGCATGCTCTTTTCGGCCAGACTCGTCATGCTGCCCCAGCACACACCCCATTGAGTTGTCAAGTACTGTCAGGTATAGTATCAGAGGTCTCCCCTCCACCGGTGGTATAAGGATGGGTGGTTCTTGGAGATACTCCTTGATTCTGTCAAAAGCAGCCTGACATTCATCATTCCAACGTACTACCTGATCTTTCTTCAGCAGCTTGAAGATTGGCTCACAGGTAGCAGTCAGGTGTGAGATGAATCGAGCAATGTAATTCAGGCGTCCTAAAAAGCCTCTGACTTCCTTCTCTGTCTTAGGAACTGGCATCTCTTGAATAGCTTTGACCTTGGCAGGGTCCACTTGAATGCCCTTATCACTTACCACGAAGCCTAGCAACTTTCCAGATCTTACCCCGAAGGTGCACTTATTCGGATTCAACCTCAGCTTGTACAACTTCAGACGGTCAAACAACTTCTGCAGATGATCAAGGTGTTCTTCCTCAGTCTGGGACCTTGCAATCATGTCGTCAACATACACTTCTATCTCATGATGGATCATATCATGAAATAAAGCAACCATGGCACGTTGGTAGGTTGCCCCAGCGTTCTTCAATCCAAAAGGCATGACCTTGTAGCAGAAAGTGCCCCACTGAGTAACAAAAGTAGTCTTTTCCATGTCTTCAGGAGCCATCTTGATCTGATTGTAACCTGAAAAACCATCCATGAAAGAGAACACCTTATGCTGAGCTGTATTGTCAATAAGGACATCAATGTGAGGTAGGGGAAGTCATCTTTGGGGCTGGCCCTGTTCAGATCCCTGTAGTCGACACACATTCTGACCTTTCCGTCTTTCTTTGGTATGGCACCACATTAGCAACCCACTGGGGATAAGAAGTCACTGCAAGGAACCCGACATCAAACTGTTTCATAACCTCGGCTTTGATCTTCTCAGACATCTCTGGACGCATACGATGGACCTTTTGCTTGACCGGAGGGCAATCTTCCTTAGTTGGCAAGTGATGGACCACAATATCGGTATCCAACCCGGGCATGTCTTCGTAGGACCAGGCAAAAATCTCCATATAATCATGTAGCATTTGAGTCAACCGTTGCTTCACGCTGAGCTCTAGGTTGGCACCAATCTTTACCTCTTTCTTGTCTGCCTCAGTACCCAGGTTTATTGTTTCCACTGGCTCTTCGTGTGGTTGAATTGCCCTCTCTTCCGGGAGTAACAATCTTGCAAGCTCGCCAGGCACTTTGCAATCATCTTCACCTTCGTCTTCGGCTAAGTTGATCGGATTTTCGAAGTCATAACTGGCAGTAGCAGAGTCATTACCAGTGAGATCCAGAGTGGATTGGAACCTGTATGAGTGAGTGTGTGTAAATACAGCTGTTTTGAAATATATATAAAGGAAGGAAAGACAGAAAAGGAGCATAAGATTTGAAATGCGAGAAAACGTCCAAGATTTTTATTTATGATATATGAAATGACAATTTATATGCCCTCACAAATGAAACCACGGTGCCTCGGGTAAGACACCGGGCCATAGAGTTTTAATTGTTTATTACAAATAACAAAACAAAGAAGTTTATTACTGCGTAACAAAAGTAACAGGAGTATGGTCCTTAGCAATCCAATTGGTCAATCCGCCATCAGTTGTCGGGTAGATCCAGCTATTGAACTCAGCTTCATCCACTTCATTATCCTCCCCAACAACATTCACTCCTGGATTGGTAATAAGCACAAGAGGTCTTCTGGTCTTTGCCTTCCGCATAGCTTTCTGTCCCTCTGCAGTAAAACCCAGTCCAAATTTGTCAGTTTTCTGTGTAAAGTCGGGAAGCCTGCCCCAGTTAGCACATTCACCTTTCTGAATCACAGCCCGGGCATCCTTTAGGGAAGCCATCTTCAAAGGAACATCCTCTTCGACCCCTGTTTCTGCTGGTGCTGAAATTGGAAGTACCTCTTCGAAATGCTGAAAGGGGGTTTCAATAAACTCCCCGTCCATCTCAATATATCTGAAGGAATTCAAATGTCTCACCATATACTCCTCCTCTCCCTGCACAGTGACAATTTTCCCTCTGACAGGGTATTTTAGCTTCT